ATGTGCACCTGGACACCTGCACCTGGATGCCTGCATCTGGACACCTGAACCTGTTTACCTGCACCTGGGCATGTGCACTGGGACGCCTGCACCTGGGCATGTGCACTGGGACACCTGCACCTGGGCATGTGTACTGGGACACCTGCACCTTGATACCTATACTTGGCATGCGCACTGGGACACCTGCACCTGGACACCTGCACCTGGGCATGGGCACCAGGACACCTGTACCTACGGACCAGGAGGCTCCTGCCTCCACCCTGTATAGCTCAGGAACTTGGACAGTCCAGAGAAAGGAGCGAGTTTGAAGAGATGGTCCCCAGCCACCCCCAGCATCCTGCTTGTTGAGCGAACTTTTCTGAGGAGATATGAACAGACACCTACTCAACCCACAAAGGGCAATGACATAATCAAGGAGGAGACAGCAGCCAAAAGTGGCTTGGTGAAGCACAGAATTGACTGGGGCTGCTTAAAGGAACATGTATAACTTATGGGCAGCCCCGCCATTGAGGAGAGGGCTGGCCCGGCTATCATTAGCCAGCTCTTGATCCTCAGGGGGGCCCTGTGAGTGCCTTCCCCATGTGACAAAAATGTAATGCTTCAGTCTTGTGCTGGTCTGTTGGTAATCACACAGCTGCCAAGGGTTACTGGGGGCAATAGTCATGGTGTGCCCTGAGGACAGTGCTCCACAGCCTGGTGCAATCAACTTTCAAATACAAATAGAGCTGGATCAGTAATGCCAGCTGGAGTTTGCATGCTTAGGAGGCGGCCGGCCGCTGAGGAAGGGATAGGTGTGGGAGGTTGGATCAGCCAGCTATCCTTCACATGACCTTCAACTGGCAATTGCTGTTCCTTTAATGAAATCAATAGCCCAGGTGAGGACGAAAGCCAGCTGACAGTCAACCTGTCTGTGGGAGACACTCGGGTGAGGTAGGGGACAGCTGTGGTGAGAGGCCCACCCAGTACCCTCCTCAAAGAGGACAGTCACTGGAACATACCTTGACAAGAGCAACTCAAGAAAGGAAGGTTTATTCTGGCTCCAGGTTCAAGGGTGCGGTTCCACCACAGTGGGGAAGCCGCAGCAGCAGCAGCAGCTTGAGGCAGCTGGGAACTTCGCAGTGGGAAGCAGTGATGATTGCCTCTGCAGGTCAGCTCACTTCACACAGGCCAGGGCCGCAGCCCGGGGGACAGCGGGACAGCCCACCACCCTCCACCCTCCCACATTCATGCGCCCTTTCCTTTTCATTACTCACTGAGTACAATGAAGAATGCCTGTATGCGTGTCCCAGCCACTGTTCTGTCCGTGGGGGGACACCATGACCACAGCAACTCACAAAAGGAAGCATTTAACTGGGGGGCTTGCTTACAGTGTTGGGGGGTTAGTCTGCGATCATCGTGGGGTGGGGGAAGCAGACTGGCTCTCCCCACCCCAGTGACACACTTTCTCCAAGCAGGCCATGTGTCTTAGTCTTTTCCAAATAGTTCTGCTAACTAGGGCCTGAGCATTCAGACACATGAGCCTGCGGGGGTCATTCTCATTCAAACCATCAGCATGGGCAAGGGCCATCCACCGGAGAACTGTGGATTACTAGGAGCCAGACCCTTGAAGAAAACTGCCTCTCCCTCCTCCAGAAGCCACTAGTTGTCCAGCTCCTCAGTTAGGGGTGGGGTCGTGAGCCTCTTCCCCTCCATGCTGCAAGATGGACCGGCCTGATCCAGCCCAGCAACCACGGCTGCTGTGCGTTCAAGAGTGCTGGGGTCCTGCGATGTCCAGAAGACAGTTTCTCTCTGATCCTGCCTGACCTCTGTCTCCTACAGTCTTTCTGCTCCCTCTTCCCTGATGGACCCTGAGCCTTGGGAGGAGCGTGACACTGATTTCCCATTTGTGACTGAGCCTTCCTCAGTCTCTTGTGCTCTGCACTGTGACCTGTTGTGGGTTTCAGCCTTAGCTGTTGTCTACTGCAGCAAGAAGCTTCTCTGACGAAGTCCGAGAACTATAGGAATCTGAATTTCAAGATCTAGGAGGGCAGCTCCATGCTGTGTCCTTTTAGCAGAATAATAGTAGTAGGCTCCCCCTTGGGGCCAGTGAGAGCTCCCAAACATGGGTTCTTGGCTGGGTTCACAGCAGCAGCTGGGAGTTTTCTCCTGTGGAGAAGAGTTAGTGCCCTAAGACTCACACGCTACCGCACCCATGGGCATGTCTTGCTGAGCCGGTTGTTATTGCAGTTCATGGGGTTCACAGCAGGGTGAGACCACTTGACAGGCTCCTCTCAAGTCCAAACAAAGAGCAGCGAAGAGCAGTTCGGTGGCTTGCACGGTTTAGAGCTCTCTTGAGTACCTCCAACCAACAATTTCCTTGGAGGCACCCCACACCTGGAGCCAAAGCACCACCTTCGGGGAGACACACATGCAGCTCAGCAACCACTGGATTTCCATAAAGAATAGCTGCTTAAGAGCTCGCGTTAGTCCAGTCTATATACATGGGGAAAACTGAAGCTCAGAGATGCCATGGCTAGATCTTGAAGTCACCTAGCTGGGAAGAGGCAGAGCAGGGATTTGAACTCTGAACATCAACTCCAGAGCTTAAGAACCATCAGATTTCTCTGCACCGACATCTCTCATTTGAACAGTGGTGTTTCACGGGAAGACCATAGAGCCATCCTATGACAGTGCTAATGCCATCTTTATTTTGGGGGTGTTGGTAAGAGGTAAGGGGGGGAAGAGTGGGGTCCCAAGGATCAGTGGGTGGTGGAGCCCTAGGGGTGAAGAGGAAACACATTAGATAACCTTCTCAGAAACACAGAAGTAGGTCAGTAGCTTGGCCAGGGGCTTCCTGCCCCTGGGCTTTATCTGAAGCCACCAATGCCTAAATCTCAAGGATCAGCCTCCCTGGGGTGCCCTTGACCCCATCCTTCTCTGCCCTCTGGCTCTCCCCATCCTGTCCCCCTCCTCACACTTTTACCTTCTCTCTTAGCATCTTTCCCATCTCCCTTCCTCGCCCACCTCCTCTCCCTTTATTCTCAAAGCTGAGAAAAATCTAGAATGATTTTCTTTTCTTAGGACGGAAACTGCTGGTGGCTTTTTATAAATACACTGTCCCCACACCTTGGTCTCATCAAAGTCTCGGAAACAGGCCGTGATAAGCATAGAGGAAACTCCGGTGGGGGGTGAGGCTGGGTATTTGAGGGCTTTTCCACCTTCCACCAGTGTTGCAGGGACAGGAAGTGGGGAGTCAGGCTGGACTGACTGTGACTCCTGAGCAGAGGGAGAAGCCCTGTCCTCTCCGCTGTGGCCTCTGCACCTGGAAGGTGAGGGGTAGCATGTTCTGCCCAGGGCTTAGTTTTCTCTATACAGATGTTCAGTTGCGGTAACGCACAGCTGTAGCTCTAGATCCTGGGGAAACCGAGGCAGAAGGATTGCTCGACACTCCTCCTCAAAAATATGAAATAAACAGTTCAAAGCCAGCCGGAGACCCTGTCTCCTAACAGACAGACAAACAAGCATAAAAAGACAAGTGGTTAGAACATATAAAGTGCCTCTCAAATGGGATTATTTAATATTCTTTATTTAATTTATTCTGCAGGTGTCCTGCACTCGGGGTCCAGAGGACAGCCTCGGCTGCCATTTCAGCAGCTGTCTACCTGCTGTGAGGCAGACTCACCCTGAACCTGGAGTCCACTGATTCAGCTAGGCCCCTTGCCCTCCTCCCTCTCCTTCCCTGCTGATGGGACTGCAAATGCTCATCACCACATCTGTTGTCCTCACACGCTTTCTGTGGCCTCAAGGTCAGATCCTCATGACTGCGCCATGAGCTCTGTACCCCCTGAGGCATAACCCAAGCCCTCTGCCCCCTTTGTGCCTTCCCACAGTCCCGTGAACTCCGGGCATCCAGCGGGCCTGGCACGGTCTGTTCTAACTGGGTTCTTCCCCCTTCTTTTCTTCCTTCTTTCTGTCTTGCTTTTCCCTTCTCTTCTGCATTCCCTCCTTCTTCCCTCAGCAGTCTGGAATGTCTGTCACGGCCACACACTGGGCTCAGCCATGAGCTCCCATGAAGGTTGTCCCTGAAGGGTGTATGTGCTCAGGAGCTTTAGGCTGGGCCTGTCCCTGCCAAGGGGGTGTGGGTGGCTGGAGACCAATGCCACAGATGGGTGGGAGAGGCTGGCATGGTGGCGAGTCTGGAGCCCCGCGTGCCCCCAAGTGATAAAGGCCTCTCCGACACGCCGGGACAGGTCTTGTCTCTGGCCCAGAACCCAGGAACCCCAAATCCCGGCGTCTGCATCAGAAGCATAAATACCCAGCTTTATTCTTTCCTCCTGAATATCAGGCAAACGGGCTGACCCATGCTGGTCCTGGAGCTCCACACCACAAGGCTCCAGCTCTCTGATTTGAAGATTGCCCAAAGCAGGTCAGCTGTCCTCCCGAGCACTGCTCGGCAGAGTTCGGGGCTGCGTGAAAGGGGAGGCTTGACCATCCCAGCTTGCTGGGTGTGAGGTCAGTCCTGGAGAGGCCCCTTTACGCAATCCATCGTCACCGCAGCCCTCAGACCATGAATGCTCCGAAATAGGACCTGGTGCCATCGCGGGGTCTGACCAGGCGGCTCCCGGGCACGCGGACCACCACCTCCTCGCCCTCCTCCAGACGCACCACGCCGCCCAGGAAGCTGCTGTCCCACCACACGCGGGAGCTGTTGGCCCGGCTGCAGGGCGAGCGCCGGTTGACCAGCAGTTCTAGCTCCTTCGGGTAGCGGGACGTGCGCTTGTACAGCCCGTGGGTGATGGCGAGGCCGCTGGCCAGCCCCTGGGGGCAGCCCACGCCGCTCAGCTGTATCTTTGAGTACACGTAGTAGTAGCCAGCCTTCGTGCTCACCAGGGCGCCATCGTGATACATCAGGCCTCTCAGGAAGGCCAGGCCAAGCTGGGCCTCCCACAGCAGGGGTCCGCCCACACCGATCAGGCTGTCGTTGGCTCCTGGGAGGGAGGAGAGAGGGAGGGATGAGGAACTGGTGGAGCTGGGATAGCGCCGTGCCCACCTCTTCCGTGTGACCTTATTTTGGTTCCCTCCCTGTAGTTTCACTGCCAGAGAAGGTCCGGGTCAACTCGGCCCATTCTCGTCCTGCAGGTGGGAGAAACTGAGGCACGGAGGAGCAAAGCCACTTGAATAGCGAAGAGGAAAAGTCAAGACTTAAAGGTGGGGTTGGGGCTTCGGGGGTGGGATGCTCGCCCAGCACCAGATAATTCAGGCAAGGAGGGGGCACGTCCGTCATCCGGTGACACGGTGAGTTCAAAGCCAGTTTAGGACACATGAGTCCCTGTCTCAAAAAGTGTGTGTAACTGTATGTGTGTGTGTGTGTGTGTGTGTGTGTGTGTGTGTGTGTGTGTGTGT